CTGTCCCTCAGCTCTTCAGCTCAAGGCTAGCGCTCTACCACTTGAGCCACAGCGCCACTTCCGGCTTTTGTCTTTTTGCTTATGTAGTGCTGAGGAATCAAACCCAAGGCCTCATGCATGCAAGGCAAGCGCTCTACCACTGAGCCACCTTCCCAGCCCATGGGTTAACTTTTGAAGGGAATTTTTTTTTTTTTGTCAGTTATGGATGTTTAAACTCTGGGACTGGACACTGTCCTTGAACTCTTCAGCTCAAGGTGAGCAAGCATTCTACCACTTGAGCCACAGTGCCACTTCCAGTTTTCTGGTGGTTAATTGGAGATAAGAGTCTCATGGACTTTTCTGCGTTTTGAACCGTGATCCTCAGATCTCAACCTTCTGAGTAGCTAGGATTACAGGTGTGAGCCACCAGCGCTCGGCTGAAGGGAGTATTTTTTTGTTGGTGGCAAATCACTTCTGAGGTGGACATGGGTTGGCCAGTAGGTTGGCTAGCTAGTTTAGACTAGATGGTATTTCCATGGGTGTGAGCAACTGTTCTCCCCTAATAGCTTCCCTGATGGGGAAGTACTGTTTTTGTGGCTTTGCTTCTGTGGTAGTCAGGCAGGCACACACAGCTTTGTGACTGTGGTGCTCTCCTGGTCTGACTCTGTACATAATGCCTGCTTCACTGGAGCTGCTCAGTAATTTTGTACCTGAAGGAATATTTTTTTCTTGTACATAGTATTTCTTTTGCTTAGAGTACTCTTTTCATCTCCACTTTGCACAGCTAATGTGTGTGTACATGTGAGAGTGTTTTCATGTATGAGTGTGTATGTGTGAGTATGCACTTGTATATATATGTGTGTGTGTGTGTGTGTGTGTGTATGTATTGTAATTTTTATCCATTCAATTGGTGGACACAAATTGTTTTAGTTTCTTGGCTACTATTATTAGTGCTACAGTGATCTCTGATGTACTAGTTTCATTTCTTTTGGATCATTTATCCAGGAGTGGAATTGCTAGATTCTGTCAGTTCTGCTTTTAATTTTTTTAGAAATCTCCCAAATGGTTTCTATACTGACTTCCATTTTCCAGTTTGCATTACTGCCACTAGTATATTAGAGTCTCATGGACTTTCCTGTTTGGGAAAGCTTTGAACCTTGATCCTCAGATCTCAGCCTTGTAGGTAGCTAGGATTACAGGTGTAGGTCACTGCCATCTGGTAAATTCCCTTTTTTTTATACATCCCACCAATCTTTGTGTGTTTCATTCCTACTGGGGTAGGTTGAAATCTCACTATAGATTTGGCTTGAATTTTCCTGATAATTACTGGTGTTAAGCATTTTTTTCATGTGTCAGATAGCAATTTGTCTGTCAAGAAGTAATATTTTGTATCTTTTGGCCATTTTTAATCAGGTTATTATTTTTGAGAAAAATGTATACAAATTGTTGGAGGGTTGTCTACTACATGCTTATTAAATCCATTTGGTCTGGGGGTACAGTTTAATGCTGCTGGTTTTTTGTTGATTTTCTGTCTGCAAGGTCTGTCCTCAAAAGTGGGACATTAATGGCCTCTATTATTATTGTGCTGTGGTCTGCATCTCCTTTATTTGCTTCATTTATTTGAGTGCTTCTATGTAGATCACATATATGATATATAGCTTTAAATCATATCTATATCTGTATACATCTTTAATGGTACTGAAGTTTCAACTCAAGCCTTGTACTTGTTAGTTAAGAACCACTTCACTTATCCTCCCAGCCTATAGGATCTCAAGTTTTTGCCTGGGGCTGGCCTTACCTCATTCCTCCCACCTGTGCTCCCCCTGTAGCTAGTACCACATGTACCACATGCCCAACTTGTTTGTTGTGATGATAGAGGTAGATTTCACTAACACTTTTCCCCAGGCTGGCCTTGAACTTTGATCTTCCCAATATATACCTCCCCAAAAGCTGGGATTATAGGCATGTGCTACCAAACCTGGCATATATGTAGGTTATTTCTATTTTCTGAATTTATTCCTTTGGAATTATATAATAAATCTTCCTTGCTTGCTTTTTACTGGTTTTGATTTAGGGTCTATTTTACTTGATCTCAGTATGGCTCTTCCTGCTTTGTTTTGAATTCCATTTGTATTAAATATCTTATTTTATCCCTTTATCATCTTACTCTATCCCTTTACTATCAGTGTGATTAATGAGTTTCTTATAAGCAACATATAGGTGAGTATTTTTTTTTTTTAACAACCACATAAACTTAGCCAAGCACCAGTACCTCATGCCTATAATCTTAACTACTCAGGAAGCTGAGGGTCACAGTTCAAAGCTAGCCTGGACATAAAAGTCTTTGAAACTCTTTTCTCCTATAAGTCACCAAAAAGCTGGAAGTGGAGCTGTGACTCAAGTGGTAGACCACCAGCCTTGAGGGGAAAAACTCAGGGACAGTGCTTAGGCCCTAAGTTCAAGGCCTAGTGCTGGCACAAAATTGAAAAATAAAAAGCCTTTAAGTGGAACTGGCCATCAGTGGCTCACTCTATAATCCTAGCTACTCAGGACACTAAGAGTAGGTGAGTATTTTTTAAAAAATATATTCAGCTGGGTGCTGGTGGCTCACGGCCTATAATCCAAGCTACTTAGGAGGTTGAAATCTGAGGATTGCAGTTCGAAGCCAGCCCAGACAGGAAAGTCCATGAGGCTCTTATCTCCAGTAAATGACTCAGATAAAGCTGCAAAGTGGCACTGTGGCTTAAGAGGTATAACAATAGATAGCCTTGAGCAAAAAGAAGTTCAGGGACAGCACACAGGCCCTGACTTCAATCCATAGGACACACACACACACACTCTGTATCTGTATACATATACATATATACACAAACATATATGTACACATACATATATATACAGACATATATGTATATATACATATACATGAGAATTTCATTTATATTTGAAGTACTTGTTGGAAGATAAGGTCTTAATACATTTTCTAGTTTGTTGTAGTTTGTTCCTTTCTTTCTCTCCTACAGCCTTCCTTTGTAGTTAAATGAAGTACTCTACTAGTATTCTTTTTTTTTTTTTTGCCAGTTGTAGGGACTGAACTCTGGGCCTGGGCGCTGTCCCTCAGCTCTTCAGCTCAAGGCTAGTGCTCTACCACTTGAGCCACAGTGCCACTTCTGTTTTTTTTTTCTGCTTATGTGGTGCTGAGGAACCAAACCCAGGGCCTCATGCATACAAGGCAAGCAGTCCACCACTGAGCCACCTTCCCAGCCCTTCTACTAGTATTCTTGATTTTCTATTTTCTTTCTTTGTTTTTTTTTCTAGTATACTTCTGTGCTTTGTGGTTATCATGAAATTTACAAAAAAAGTTCAGAAGTGATGGCACAAAAGAGAATAGCAAAAGACATCAAAAGAGAGGAAATATACTGATTT